GTTGTGAAGATTAAGTTTATTTATTTTACAAAAAGTTCTTAGAATGTTGCTTTTCACATTGTGGGCACAATAGTATTGGCTGTAATTTTTATCAAGGAGCTGGAATTCCAAAAATATTGCCTCTCTTTAGTATTGCACTTGATTCATTCCCTTAGCCCCTACAATGTTACTATAGTTAGATACCTTGCTTTCCTCCTGACCTCTTAATGAGATTCTTTCAACATAGATCTTTGTTAATTAGGACATAGGCTAGAACTTTCACAAAATGGAAACTTCTATAATTCTATTATCTAGATTAAAGTTTCCCAACTCCAGGTGCCTGTTAAAAATCAGAACATCTGCAGTGGGTAAGGGCATGTATAGGGGTCTAGCAACTTGCATTTTTGAGTTTACAACTCAGGTAGATATAAATAAGCACAGTGTTGAAATAAATGCTTTTATTAATTAGGGATCATGAACTTTTTGTTGTTTTCACAGAATTTTAGCATTGGAAGAAGTGTTGGGAAATCTCTAGTTCTCAGTTTCTCTAATCCAGAGAAGACATCTCAATTTCTCAAATTCTCACAGTGTAAAGGGCAGAAATAGTGCTAAAACTTCTTGGTTCCCTGTGCTCTTTCCAATACATTGTATTCTTCTTGCAATTTCAATTTAATTTTGAGGTTAATTTCTTTATTGTTAAATCAATGTATTTGGCAAAAAAATTTAATATCTTTATGTTATGATTCTTCTCTCTTTGGGGGATAGGAAAAACACTGTTGAGTGACAAGCAGAGCCAATTAAGTGTATTGATTCTGGGGAAGAAACTGAACTAAAATTCACATAGTTGTGTTCCTTTCTTGGATAAATAAACATATATAAGAAAACATCACAATCATTATAATCATCGTCTTGGCCATCATCAGCGTCATCACCGATGGTTAGTTCAGTCATTAAATTTAATTAAGTAATATCAATCCTTGAAAGTTTTAGCAGGTCTTCTAAGACCTGTGAGAGATACAATTGCTGATCAAATATCATAAGAACACATGCAAGTTAGTTGAGTCAGAGGACATTGGAAAAGAGCTTCAGTCTAGTGCCATAAATACACTTTCCTAGTTCAGGCAATTATATAAAAGTTAGCAAATGGATCTGAGACTTTCTACTAGGTAGGACTAACCCTGTAAGAGAAGCAAGATGTACTGAGAAGATATTTTCTCAGACTTCTCTTGACTAGAGCTGTACCATTACGCATCTACCCTGGAAGGGGTTTTAGCACCATGTAAAATCTGACAAGTGAAAGTTGAGAATGGAAAAGACCTGCTTCACCTCCAACCAATTATTGCCTTTATTGATTCAGGGCCAAATTATCTATTAGGTACAATAGCACAGAGTACATGCCCATGATACTTTTAGAGATTGATGAAAGTCTTTTAATTTCTTTTAAAATTATGAGAAAGAAAAACTTTTTTTTTTTTAGAAAAAGAACTTTTAGGGTCATATATATGTTTTGTTTCTCAGATTACAACAAAACCCCATTTTTAGGCCCCATGAAAATCTATTACATTTGGACTAAAGCAGAAAAACTTAAATATTGAATTATTTAAAATAATATAAAATAGTATGAATATGAATATTATGGTGGGAGGGACCTATGAAAACAAAAAGCAGCCCATGCAGGTCATAATGCTGCCCTGGATTGATCCATTGACTTTCAATATATTTGCCATTGCTTGATGGATTTATCCATTGCTAAACTTTGGTTCCAGTACTTTTTTAGGATGGTGAATTCTAGTAAACTCCCTAAAGAACAATGCTGCTGGATGTAAACTTTTGATGGTTTTCTAGTTATTTGCTAAATTGTGGCCAATGGAATATTTCTAATGTCACTTGCTCTCTTAGCTACCGATTTGTTCTCCAGTCCCCACCTTTTCCTGGTTTTCTTTCCTACAGAGTGCACTCTAGAACACTCAAACAATACCGAATAGATAGATGGCCAAGGAAACCTGTCATGGGATCAAATAATGAAAATTTGCAGTTGCAAATTTCATTAATATTTAGTCATTCAAAAGAGTAAAGTTAAGTTAATGGTGCACCGTTTAACAGCAATGATCTTTTAGGGAGATTTATGAGATTCCTTTCTGCCTGTCACACCTGTGTACCTTGAGTGAGAAGTAGAGCAATGTGTAGAGAATGCTGGAGAGACACCTGGACTCATTCTGAAAGTGCTAGTGCTTAAGTGTAGGCCCTCCCTGGACATCACCAATCTCCAGTGAATTTCTTTATGCAATTACCTATTCAGAAGATTAGTTTTCTCTTTCTAATTTCAAACCTTAATGCCACAAAGTTGAAAAGTTTGAGTTAAAATAAAAGAACACACTAAAAAAAAAAAAGGATCTTAGAAGCAGGCAATTAGATAATAATTAAGCATTATCTTGTACCAACTTTAAGACTAGGAGCTAATTATTGCAATTCTGCATTAGGAGGAGTTTTGACAAGGGGCTTTGGATATAATGTAGCAGATAGACCTGATTTAAATAGAAGGCAGGGTTTTGAGGGGGCGGGGAGCAGAATACTACCTGCTTCAATGTCAAAAAATATAACTTAACTACATTCCTGTCCGTCTTTGGGCACCTTGGCAAGAGCTGATTTGCTGATTACATCCATCTTTTCCTGCTCCAAGTTATCTTTCCAGCATGTTGATTTCCCTTGTCAGCCAGAGACTGGTTATTTCAGCTTAGCTTTTTAAAAATTCTTTTGTAGTTTAATTAAAACTTCTTGTTTTTAGGAAATGCTTTATACTCTTTCTGAATTGAAGAGCCTAAAGGTCTAGACACTGGAGGAGAGTTAACTGCATTTAGGTAATGAAAGCCAAATTCCTGAGTTCCTATCTATTAGAGACAGAGTTTGAAATCTGTGCCTAGCAGACTTTTCAGAGGATCTATTTCACGATTATTGAACATGCCTACTAACATGATTATAAAGCTGTTTTAAAATGATAGTTTACATAGTGTTGGTCAACATCACTATCATCAACGAGGACAATCCAGACCCAGCTGGGAGTCATAACATAGAATTAGGAAAGGTTGTCACCACAAAGCAATGGCCTCCTCGGGCCCAATCAGTGCTGGGACCACAAGTCCTTCAAGAGTTCAGAGAAGAGAAGGGAATAAACCCAGGGTGGGAGCCGATGGGAACAGTTTCAAGGAGGGGATGGATTGTAAATGAGAGAAGGGGTTGAAGGAGGGAAAGCGATGGTGTAACCACAGGGAAGCAGGAATGAATCATCAGTAATGATTGATGAGAAACATAAGTAACTGAATGGCAAATTTTACAAACATAAAGGACAGGAAGAGATAATCAGATCTAGCCTCCTAGCTTCAGGAAGGTAAGGTCTTATTATCCCATTTTACAGATAAAACATCTGAGGCCAAAACATCTGGAGAGGTCAAATAAGGGGACTAAGTCCTTAATCCAGTGATTTTTCCAAACTTTCAGAAGAGATTTTTAAATGTAGATTTTGGGGCTCAAACCCTAAGGAGTCTGGCTCAATTGGGGGGTGGAACCTGGGATGTCCACTTTTTGTGATACCCTCAGATGGTCTCCTGATGGGAGAACCTTACTTGGGAGATGGTGCTTTGATATGATAGGTACTCAGGGAAAACCCTTTGCCATATTCATATTTTAAGATTAATTCTAATAAGTTTTCATTAACTCTGGGTAGATGGACAAATAGGGTTTATCCCATCCCTGGAATTCATAACCATTTTCCTAGTCCTCAAATATTTTTTCATAACCAGAGATGGAGGCCTGCCATCACTGCTCAGGAATTTGAAAAGATGGACAAATATGTAGGTCCAGGCTCCTCAATACAACTGTCATGATAAGGGTCAGCGGAAGACCCAAGAATGTAGAAGACAATGGAGTACTAGGTTAAAACCCTAGGTGTGAGTCCTGGTTTGCCACTTACTGCTATTGGTGCTTGTTTAAGTATTTTAACCCATATTTTATTTTATTTTATTATTTTTTTTAAAGATTTTATTTATTTGAGAGAGAGAATGAAATAGAGAGAGCATGAGAGGGGGGAGGGTCCGAGGGAGAAGCAGACTCACTGCTGAGCAGGGAGCCCGACGCGGGACTCGATCCCGGGACTCCAGGATCATGACCTGAGCCGAAGGCAGTCGCTTAACCAACTGAGTCGCCCAGGCGCCCCTTAACCCATATTTTAGATCATCATCTATATAATTGGGCCAATAAGACGTCCACCGATTATGTGCCAAGATTCCGGAAAGGACAAAAGGAGATTGTGTGGCAATTCTCTAAAACTATGAAGACCAACACAAGTTTTTGAAAAGTTATAATAAGGATCAATTACTTTATGTAATTACTATCATATTCCTACCATAAGTAAGCCATTGTAGCAGTTACAGGGAAGTAGAATCCTCAGCCCTGCTCTCAAGCCTGCCAAAATCCCATAGATGAGTTATACCTTTCCCGGTTTGCTATTCCTACCATTTTGTGGTCCCTGACATTGATCAGAGTGTGCAGCCACCAGAAAGCAATGCCTTGACTGTCCCCTTTGCCAAGGTTAAGACATGGAACAATTAATGGGAGGCTGAAAAAAATTATAAATGTTTTATTCCTTTTGCTACCTCTTTTTTTCCTCTTCCTCTGTAGGCCGAAGAGGTCTGGGGACTTGTGTGTATTCTTGGGAAATACGACACTGGGAAAGTTTTAAAAAGGCCATAGTAGGGGCCTGGGAAAGGAAATGCAGAGTTGCTAGCATATCTCCTTTAAGATCAGGCTCTTTAGGAGAAGTAAAGGGTCTTTTTGAAGTTTCTGCATTTTGTGGCTTATCTCATTAGGGCTAAAGTCATAATAGTGACGGTGGACAGGAGAATGTATGTTTGGCTCCACTTAATATGGACCCTAAGCAGAAGGATAGACAGCTACATCCAAAGCTAGATTCGAAGCGATGAAGGAATCCTATCTAAAACAAGTTTACAATGAGCTATGGTTGCTGAAGTCATGACAGGACAGGTGTTTAGAAAGTTTCTTCCCCTCTTTGACTGAGTTTTAGTTGAAAGGAGTGCAACTGAAACTGCAACCAGAGGAGGCATTATGTTTCCAGAAAAATCTCAAGGAAAAGTATTGCAAGCAACAGTAGCAGCCGTTGGATTGGGGTCTAAAGGAAAGGGTGGAGAGATGCAACCAGTTAGTGTGAAAGTTGGAGATAAAGTTCTTCTCCCAGAATATGGAAGCACCGAAGTAGTTCTAGATGACAAGGATTCTTTCTTATTTAGAGATGGTGACATTCTTGGAAAGTATGTAGAGTGGAATTAATCATTTTTGAAACGGCATCACGTGAAGCTGCCCATTCCACTAAAGTTGTGAAATCTTTCATCATGTAAATAACTTCCATGTCTCTGTTTTATAACAAACTAATGGTATCCAAACTAAATAATAATAATAATAATATAATAATAATAAAACAAGTTTACAAACAGTCTAAGTCAGGATGTGATTAGTGCAATGGTATTTCAGAGAAGGGAGACTGCTATCAGCCATGTGGGAACAGAAGATAATAGGACATGTACTTTTGGAAAAAGCAAATGACAGTAAAACAATGATACAGCAGTAAAGAGAGTGAGGTATGGAAAACCACAAGACTACAGATCAAGAAACCTCTCCATGTGGTCCTAGCCAAATCGCACTTCTGGGGGCCCTTTATCCCCACCTTAATTCACTTTCCCTTCATCCTTCTGTAATTAGTATTAACTGCATCAGCCTTCTAATGGTCTTCTAGTCACAATTGCCAGTCACTCCTTAAACCAGGTCACTTTGCAACTAGAATTACCTCGTTAAAACTTGAATCTGATTTCACAACTAACTCTCTTATTGGAAAGACTTTATGACTTTCCTTTTGGTGACAAATGCCTTCACCTGATCTTCAGCTCCAGATCTCCCCTCAGCTGACCTCCCCCCACCAACATAGACACCTTATGAACTCATCTCCACCCCCAACCCCGACTTTTGGCACTAAAACATGTGCTTTTTGTTTTATTTTATTTTATTTTATTTTATTTTATTTTATTTTATTTTATTTTATTTTATTTTATTTTATTTTATTTTAAATCGCTGCATGTATCACTCCCTAGAATGCTCTTTCTTTCCCTCTTCCTCTAGCTGGCAAACCCGTGTTATCCTGCAATACTCAGCTGGAGCGACATGTTCTCAGTGAATTCTTTCTTGACTCTCTGGATGAACTGGTCCTTCCCTAATAATAATGGACTAAATATTTCTAGATTGCAGATTTTTCATTTGAAGGCTTTTCTGGAATTTCCAGGCCAAGTGGGTTGGCAGCCCTATTATTGGCAGGTTTGCGCTTCAAAATGAATTCTCCTCTTTATCTTCCTGGAGGTAGAAAGGATAGTTCATGTGTGTTCTTGGACTATTCTCTTCACATGAATACTTAAACAATAGGAATTATAAGAAGGCTTACATTTTACTGCAGGCAAAAAGGTCACTCTCTTTTGTACTTGTAAGTTCTTAAAAGATTTCTTGCTGGAAGACTGCCCAATTGTTCAACCATGGTAAATTAAAGCAAAACTTTTCAGAGGCTACCATCACTCCTTTGAAAAATGTTCCAAGAGCATCCTTTCATCATGTGGAAACCAGTAAAATCTCCCTTCAATGTGCAACAGAGTTTCTGACAGAACAATGAGCTTTAACAGGTAACCCCAGGGGGCATTCATTAAACTGAGAAGAAATCAGTGGTGGAGCCAGACTCACTTTTAGTGATAATTAATGGCACAATGTTCTGTTTCTGTAGGACTTTCTTTCCCCTTTGCCTCTTTAAATCTCATTTTAAGTCACATAAACTACTGTAGTCATTGGACCTGGCTCTGGTATGGTGGACAAGGTCCAGGATCCATTTTCTCATTGCTATTTTAAAATTTCTAATTATTATTTATTATTTAATTACTCCAAAGTTCTTATTCCACCCCAGATCTCCTCCCACCCCCAAAAGATCCTTTATTGGATTAGGTCTTTTTCAGGCCTAATAAACCTCACACATCCTGGCCGATGAACAAGTGGAAGAATGATGATCCTTGCTTTCTGAACTGGAAACACAAGTATTACATGGTTAAAGGGAGTTCCCTGGGTTTCTGAAGTAAATGAGAGAGGAGCTAGAAAAGGCTCTGACGCGAGTGATTAGATCAAAGGTAATTCTTTGTCCCGAATCAGGCAGCTTTCTGCATAGCATGCACTTCGTAAAGCATCAAGTTAAGAAGTGCTGTGGTCATCGTTAGCCACCCCTTCTCAAGGCCATCTCTTATTAGCAGTAAATTGTGAGAGGGACCGTTCCTCTTTCATCTCAGTCTCTGTTTTCGAAAGCTTTCTGCGGTAATTCAATTCAATAGAATGGCAACTCAGCTATCCCTTTGTAATTACACCAGGAAGGATTTGTGACCAATTATTTCATTTATTCTAGCAGCAGAAGGTTAAGTTACCAGGAAGGTGATATTAGGCAACGGGTCCCAGGTAGGACTAGTGTCCCTATTCAACCCTACACCTTCAGATTTCTGGAGGGATGGGGTCTCAAAGACTATTTTTTAAAAAGCTCCCCAAGCCAGTTACATGATTAGTCAAGTTCAAGAACTACTTGTCTAGTGGTCTCTTGCAGGGGCTCTCAAAGCCAGTATCCCCTGGGGAGCTGGCAAAAAGCACAGATCTGATTTTCAACTGCAAGGGATTCTGATTGCTGGGAGGGGTCTAGAAATAGGCATTTTTAACGAGCCCCCAGGGTGCTTCTGAAACATGTGACCAGTGTGACTCACTTGAGGAAACACTGCTCTGTTCAGGGTTTAGCAAAAAGGAAGAAGGGCATAGGTTGTGATACACTCGAGAGGCTCAGAATTTGCCTGTAGAGAGTCAGTTCCAAAGGTCTTCCCAAATGCTGTGTCTGTCTGCCTTTGGACCACACCAATGCCAGCCAGCGAGAGAGAGTGAGGATGGAGAGGATGACGGTCAGTGACAGGGCTGGGATCCCTACAGTATCCTGCTTAGGATTAGGCTGGGAGAATCCCAGTTTAAAAACAGGAACCAGACAGACGCTAATATCCTCCCTTCTGATCTATTTCAACAGCTCCTCGCTGGCCTCCCTGCCTGTGGGGTCTCCCTGTCTTGCCTGCCTCCTTTCCCCCAATATGATTCCAGCTCCAGCTTCCATGGTGCTGCTACAGTGATTTTTGTAAAAGGCAAATTGCTTCTGCATGGCTTAAAAGCCTTCTCAGTAATTCACCCGTACGAAATCCAGACTTGGCTGCAAAGGCTCCAACACTCTTTGTCAGGTAGCCCCTTCGTGCATTTCCATCCTTGCCTGTCACCCGATTCACACAGTGTGAAGAAACTCCTCTGCCGGTAACATCCTTTCCATGACTGTGTGGTGAACTCTTCAACTTTCAACCTTAGGCTGAAACATGATTCATCCTGTCAACGCTTCTCTGACCTTTCCAAGTAGAATTATTATTCCCTCCAAAACTTGTAGATACCTGTACCATAGCACCTATTACTCTGTATTACATTTATTTTAAAGTCTAGTCCTTTCAGTAGACTGTAACCATGTTTTAATGTTATTATCATCGATATTAATAAAAGTAAAAGCAATAGTAGTAGATACTATACATTAACTAATTACTATTGCAAGGTTCTGTGCTTTATGTTTTATGAATTATCTCACTCAATCCTTTTAACACCTGAAGAAATAGGCCTTGCCTATAGGAAACAGCAAGCTAGTGTTAGAACATGGGTCTGTCTGCCTGGAGAGTAGGCATTTTGCATTCAGTAGGCACTTAGCAAATACTTGTCAAATGTGCATATCACTGATGGTAAATGAATGAATGAATAAATGTGCCAACTTTTCAGAAAGTTTGCTGATTACTAAGTTATGGCTGTTGCTAATTACAAAATGATCTGCAAGGATTTCTTGGACAGTATTTGTATTTGAGGAGAGATCAAAAAGGAGGCACCAGAAATGGCTTTTATTCTCTGAAAATTGCTTCTTCAATAGCAAGCCTCAAAAAGAAGCTAGAAGCTAGACATTAAAATAAAATGGGGAAAAAAAAAAAAAAAGGAAAAGAAGACCTTAAAAGCCCGGTTGGGGGAGGGAAGGTGGGAGCGGTTCACGGTTATCTGTGACCTGTTAGGCCCTGGTCAGTCATGATACCCTTCCCTGTGGTTCAGGCCACTGCATCCTTTCCTGGATCCTTTCCCCAGCTGTGCTGTCCGCTTCCTCTGGGTGCTCACTTAGAGACAGCCTCACCTCATCCTCTGATCTTGCAGCCCAGGCTCCAGAGCATCAGTGTCTCGGTTCTGGCAATCAGGCTTCCTTCTTGTTTCTGGGACCCAAGGCCTACTCTGTTGACTAGTTCCGGTGATCAGATTGCTGTCTTACCCGGAAGGCTGGGCTTAGTTATTGCTAATCAGCCTCCTGGTCAAGTCCCGAGTAATGGCCTGACCTCGGGACCGTGCTACGTGCCTGGGACCCTGCTACCTGCTGACAGTAGCCGCTTGCCTGGAGCTCCGAATGTGCTTGTTGGCTGCAGTCAAAATACCACAGCTGGCGTGCCTGCTTGGCTCAGAGCGGTCGTCTGCTGAAGGAGATGCTGCTCCGTAGGGATGGCCGCCATCCATCTAGTTCTTGCAGGGGCTACACCTGTAGGTACACTGAATAGGGATACGATAGGGAACCCAACCTCTTTATTCTTCAAGTCTTTGATGCTGACGCTAGTATCTACAATCCTTCTGGGAATGCGGTATTATTTATGACTTACTGTCTTGGTTGCTGGGAAGGCTGGCACAGAGGATCCAAGAGACGACCCCATCAAGAAAATCTAAGGAGTTGCTTAAAGGTGTCCGATACAGATAGTGAATATTGTAACTTCTAACACGGTAGACGTTGGACTATAATTTAGGGAAAAGGAATAACACTGAGAAAATATAATTTCCATATGGAAAAGAGCATTCATATAAAACAAAGTGAACCCCATTTTGTTTCTGGTTGAGTTGTTATCTATATAATTTTGGACAAACCATACTGGGGACCTATTTCCTCATCCATAAGATAAAATGGATGCCTTAGAGGTCACGATAGCAGCGGAATTCTATGACTTTCCTAATTACTTTTTGATGTTATTGTAAAATTGTAGCGATTGAAGGAATGTAGGAGGACAATTAAGAATAGCACATTTTTAAAAGAACAGTGTATCTTATATCCCATGAGGGAAAAAAATTTTTTGGCAAAAGTAACCTAAAAACATCAAAAAGTAGCATTTATATATTACATGGAAAATTATCATATGCCTTCTACATACTTAGATTTTTTTCATTTGCTTTTCCAAATCATGTCAATAGGTAAGTATGCAACAATTAAAAGGAGTAACAT